TTTATCAAAGTATCATTATTAAACACACGCTGCTTTTGTAATTTTACACACTGATCACATCCAAAAATTTACACTTGGTTTTGTTATCTTTACCAGTTGGCCAACTTGACAACAAAAAATGACCCCAGACTGACGAACAATGATCAAGTTAGTAAACTTTGTTTTGATACCACAACAGATGTACTACCTTCGTTATTTGGTTTGGTGATCTTCACTGTTATTTCGACTTTCAATATGTCCTTTTAACTTGACCTAAGTCTATTTTCTCACCTCTTAACTCTTTGTTATATATATGCTGACATTTTCTAAATTCCGGTTTAATAATACTTTGATAAGGCTATTAGCATTAAATAGCGAAACGTCAGTAAAAACAATATCGTTTTGTTTTTCATTCATTGAGAAATACAAAAACCTTTATTATAATGAACACTGTGAATTAAGCCATCTACATTGGTCAAACTAGTAGATCAGCAGTAGTGAGATTATCAGAACGTATGAATTTAGCTAAGGTTAGAATGATTGTTCCCACACGCGAAAATAAGTAATTTAGAAAAAAGCTCAGCAATTGCACTGCATGCATTAACACACAGTCACACAATAGGGTGGGTGGGACAGAGTAAAAATTCTAAAAAGTAATATAGGTAAGTGGAGAAAGAGATAGATTGATTACTTGAATCCTGCCTGGTCCATTGAGTCTGCACCCAACACATGCAACAGAAATGACTCAGTGTAAATACCAGAGATATAGAAGATATTATTACCACCAGTCAAATCAGAGGATAATAAATAATGTTAAAATGTATTCAATTCACATTATGACATTCTAACAAGTTACTTATTTTTACTGTAAAAAACATCTTATTCCACATCTGATTGTATTTGACAGATAACACTAATATTATTTCCCAATGTACTTTATCTTATATTGACTTTTATTCAAATGTCTAATCATCAATTTTTACTCATGTGTATAAATGAAGCAAAAAGCTGTGTGAGTGACTTGATATGATTATGAGTAACAATTTGTACTCAAAATGTGGTCATCAGTAAATATTACTGTACAACACTGTGGGATTTATCAAAATAAATTTTACCCACAATGGAATTATACTCCACTACAGTGCACAAGCTTTATACGCATATCAGTTATTATTATTTATTATTATTATTGTATCCTTTAATTCCTAGAGGAACATAGGGCTTCAGACGTGCGTCTCCATTGAGTTCGGTTATCTGCTAGAGTTTTCACCTGGCTCCATGTCTGCCCACACGCTATCATCTCCTCTTCACATGACCTCCTCCAAGTCACCCCCACACTGACGACCAACTCGCCGCTTCCCTTTCAGGTTCCACTTGAGCAATGGCTTGTCTAGTGATGTCACTTGATGGTTTCCTAAGAGTATGGTCATTCCATCTCCATTTCTTCTTGCCTATCTGTTTCACAATCGGTTCCTGGTGGGTTGGTTCGTTCCCAGAGATCCCCCCTGTTGCTGACCTTTTCTCGCCGGCCATTTGATCTTGAGTATTGAGCGAAGAAAACTGTTAATGAAGGTCTGTAGTTTGTTTGAGATGCTCCTTATGAAGCACTGGCCAAGTCTCTGATCCGTATAGTAGCACTGACTGACTTCACATTGGAGTTGAAAATCCGGATCTTATTTTTCATGTTGAGGAGTGCTGTTGACCTACACACAAACTTGAGAGTAGTGAAAGATAGCTTGTCTTGCTTTTCCGATTCTTGCTTTGATATCCTCGTTAGTTTCGCCTGTAGTTGAAACTATGCTTCTCAGGTAGGAAAGGGAGTGTTTCTTTAAGGTCCCTCCCATTTATGCTGATCGTTGTCTGTTGTTGTTGCTGCTGTTGGTGTTGGCCATGAATCTTCCTTACCTCTGTTATCTCTATGTTCACCTGAAGTCATATCTCCTCTGGATGCTTCTTCTGCCAACTTGTTGCTTTTCGCTTCTATATCTTCCAGTTTATGGGAAATCAGACATATATCATTGGCGAAGTCCAGATCCTCCAAGTTTTTTGTGTGAGTCCATTTTATGCCTGTTTCCTCATTGCCCGCTGTCTGTCGCATTATCCAGTCTACTGCAATCAGGAAAATCATTGGCGATAGTAGGCAGCCTTGTCTTACTCCTGTCCTCACTTCGAAGGGTTCCGTAAGTTTCCCGTTGTGGATTACTTGGCATGCAGCATTGTCGTACAGCTGTTGGATGAGATGTATAATTGTCGGTGGCATCCCGTAGTAGCGAAGTAGTTTCCAAATCACCTCTCGATCGACGCTGTCAAAGGCCTTTTCAAAGTCGATGAAGTTGAGATAGAGAGGTGACTGCCATTCCAGGCTTTGTTCAATGATGATCCGTAATGTGGCGATCTCATCAATGCATGACTTGTTTCCCCTGAATCCAGCCTGTTCTGGTCGAAGTTTTTCATCTAGGGTGGCGTGTGTGATTCTCTCTAGGATGATGCGGCTTAGTATTTTGCTTGGGATGGACAGGAGCCTAATTCCGCGCCAGTTCTTGCATTGACTTAAGTCTCCTTTCTTTGGTAGTTTGAATAAGTATCCTTTCTTCCAATCCTCAGGTACTTTGCCTTCTTTCCACACTTTCTCCAGTAGTGGCGTCATCAAGTCCGCTGTTGTCTCTGGGTCCGTTTTCAATGCTTCTGCTGGGATTTCATCTGGTCCTGCTGCTTTTCCAGCTTTTAGCATCTTGATTGCCTTCAGGAATATTGATTTCAATGGGGTTGGGTGTTCACTAGTAGCTCTGTCTCCGTTGTTGGTATTGTTGGTTGGGTTGTAGGTGGTGGTCGATTTAGGAGTCTTTTGAAGTGTTCAGCCCAGTATTTCCTTTGCTCCACCTCTTTGGTGAGTGACTTTCCGTTGTCATTTTTCACCGGCTTGATTTGTGTCAAACGTTTGCCCGATAGGTACCTAGTTGTTTGGTAGAGTGTTGCGAGGTCTCCTTTGCCTGCAGCTTGTTCTGCTTCACTTGCCATGGTTTCATAATACTTTCTTTTGTCTTCTCTGGCACTCTTCTTCACTCTTTTGTTCAGTGTCTTGTAGTTTGCATTCAAATCCTGTTTTTGTTGCTCGTCGGTGCACTGGATAATCTTTTGTTTCACCATCTCTCTCTCTTATATTAGTCCCCAAGTGTCCGTAGTGAGCCACTGTTTGTCCTGTCTCTTCTTTCTGCCTAAAAGTTCCATGCAGGTTTGACTCCACACTGTCTTCAAGTTGTTCCAGTGCTTTTCGACGTTGGCCTCTTCGCCAGTGTTGATTTGTGTCTCGGCTTTGTCTTTTATACTTGCAGTGAAGATGTCCTTTGTGTCCTGGTCCTTCAGTTTTTGAGTGTTGAACTTGGCTTGTGGTCTATCTGCAGCTCCTGTTTCTCTGAAAGCTTTTAATTTGATTTGCATTGTCCCTTGTACGAGGTAGTGGTCTGAGCCAACGTCTGCTCCTCTTCTTACTTTCGTGTCCAGTGGGCTGCGCCTCCACTTCCTTGAGATTGAGATGAAGTCAATTTGGTTTTTGGTTCGCCCATATGGTGATACCCATGTAGCCTTGTGGATATCTCTGTGCTTGTAAACACTGCCACCAATCACTAGTTCGTTGAAGGCGCAGAAGTCGGCGAAGAGTTCTCCGTCTTCATTCATTTCTCCAAGAGCTTCTCTACCCATGATGAGTTCTCTTCCTGTATTGTCTGGTCCCAGTTTGGCGTTCATATCTCCCATTAGTATTTTAATGTCACCAACTGGAGTATTGTCGATTGTTGCCTGTAGTTGTCTGTAGAATTCTTCTTTCTTTTCGAGGTCTGCGTTGTTTGTCAGTGCATAGCATTGTATAATTGACACTTTCCTTCTTTTGGAGTTGAATCTGGCGGTCATTATCCTGGGTGAGATCGCCTCCCATTGCATCAGGGCCTTCGTTGCCGTTGGTGACATCATGATAGCCACGCCCTCGGTGTGCGAGTGGTTATCTTCTGGGTGACCGGAGTAGATCACTGACTCACCCGTTGACAATTTGGTGAGTCCATTCCCATTCCATCTGCTTTCACATATCCCCAGTACTTGAATTCTGTATCTTTTCATTTCATTTGCGATCTGGGCAGCATATCAATAATACAGACAAAATGTTATTCACCACTTTCTTTCAATTTAATAAAACACAAAAGAACAGAACAAATATATTTTGACAAATAAATCATGTTTTTCACTCTCACACACACGCTCACACACAATGTAACTTTGAACACTGCTAAATACTGACAATTGAATACAGTCCGAAAATGTCTGATAGTACAGCCTCTCACTGCAGCCATCAAAATTCATTAATATTTAACATTTTTTAAAATTCTCATTCATCATATTAATTTGTGAATTAAAAGTCAATCTGAACGAAGAATATTCTTTTCAATAATTTGTACAAAATGTACAAAGAACGATGGAAAATAGAACTTTAAAAATCAATAAGAAACGAGTAGCGAATCGCTGACCCTGAGTAGAACAATTCACATTAGAATGAGGTTATAATAATAATAATAACAATAAAATCTAAACACTTTTAAAGGCATTTTCTAAAAAGAAAAAAACCCTGAAAATATCATCTACTTAAATAAAGAGTGAATTTGAGAAGGAAAGTTGCTAATTTTAAAATATTTATGAAGAAAATTGCGTTTTCTGGTCTTGAAGGTAGTTCACACACTGACATCAGTAAGAGAAGCACTAGAAAAAACCCCAACAGTCCTATTTTTCTAGGGGGCACTTCAGCAGTAAGCACCAGTGATATCCCCACCCCACCCCTCGAGAAGGGATCGAAACTAGGACATTCAGGTGATACGTCAGGCATGTCCATTATTCAACTACTGGGACGAAATCCAGCGGCTCCTTGGTTCTTACTCATGTCATTTTGCTAAAATCAACAGTTATTTCATCCCAAAAAAACACCACAAAATATTCGAAAGGATATCAAGACTCTTTTCTGAAATCACTGTTATTTTGTATGAGGTAACAGATTGTAGGAATAAAGATAGTTCCGTCTCTGTGATATATGACTAGTAATCTAAATAAAACTATATTACTGTCTGTTTGTGCTTTAAACAACATACGCTAATATGTAGGCATAAAAATCTCAGAAGAATAATTTTGTTTTCTCTTTTAGAAAAATGTTTTCAAATCAATTGAATCTAAAAAACCTGAATACATTTCAGGTGAATGTGAATGATTGTAAATGGAAGTTTCATGGTTATTTGTATTTACGATGTTATTATTATTATTAGAAGTAGAGGTAGTGTTGTAAGGTTGACAAATATTCAAGTTTGGATAGGATTCCATTTCATCAATATTATAATCAGTTGTATAATTATTTCGAATATCATTGCTTAGATGAGATGTATTCGCCAGCTGAATTCCATGTGGAGTATAATTTGCATCAGTTGACTGCTGGAAGTAGGCTGGTGTATTCTCTGAAGGATAATAATCTGACACTGTAGGCGGTGCAGTGTACACTGGTGTCATTTTAATAGATGATGATGACGAGGGTAGTATAAAGTGTTCCGATTTATAATTAGGCTCATACATCGTACAAATATTTTTAGCGGGCATAACTTCTTCTTCTTCTTGCGGTCTAATTGTATGCGCTAATAGTGGACCGCATGTTTTATAATATGGTTGTATTGTTGACGTTACAATATGCGAAACTCTAGTCAACCTTGTCGCTTGGAAAGAATTTGTACGAGTTGGGCATAGAACTAGTCCTATGGGTAGGTCAGTTGTCGATTTCATTTTATACTGTGATGGCAAGCTTTTCACGTTTGACTGTTTACGTTTTCTTCGTGGACAATATTTATAGTTTGGGTAGCGTTTCATATGATAATCACGTAGTCGGTTAGCTTCTTCAATGAATGGAATTTTATCAGCATTGGTCAGGGATTTCCATAAATTGCCTAATTGTTTACTTATTTCCGAGTTATGCAATTTTGGATTTTCTTCAGCCATTTTACGTCGTTGTAAACGTGACCATACCATAAATGCATTCATTGGACGCTTAATTCTTTCACTATCCACAGAGGTATTATTACAAGTGATTAAACGATTATTTGAAGGTGTTGAGTGTATTTCAACAATTGATGATAATGGTGTAGAGATAATTGGTTTACTAGACTGTGAATGAGGCATTGAAGTTATAGAGGGTTCATTCATTAGCTGAAAAAGAAAAACAAACAATATTTGAAACATTGTAGGTCAGTTTTTATGTCTACAATTCAGGGGAGATACTCCTGTGGGGATTCTATCTCTGCATGTCTGTTCCTATCCTTCAGTAACCGTTCAGTGTTCACGTGAAAACTGAAAGATGCCTTATCTAACATTATCTTTTCTTCATGCATATGCCATTTCAACTGTTCCTGTGGTTCAAATTATATTTTTTTTTCCTTCACGTTCCCCAGTGGAACATTGGGCTTCAAGCTAGTGGCTTGAAGTTTCTGTAGCAGTGTTTATTTTACAGGTGGGGTTGCTAGTCTCATGCCCAACCTTACCTCTTTACCAGCATTATTTCTGGCTCAGCGAGGTAAAGAAGTGCGTCGGCCGGGGACCCGGACCATGTGCATGGTCGGCGAGCGTCCTAACTGCTATACCACCGACGCACAAAAAGAGGGGGGCATGATAAGGTAGGTTTGTCTACGAGTTCGAGAGCATTTACCAGCTTGGTTCATTAGGGGGAAGTTAAGTGGATGAAAAGCTCGATTCTGTCACACTTGGTCGATACTGGGCATTGTATCAACGCCAAAATAGCCTTTAAGATTACAGAACTAATTCCGGAGCTGTTATCGCATACTGTTCCCTGACGTCTCCTACACATAGTTGAAGCCATAGAAATAAGATCGACTAAATGGAAACTTTACATGCAAAAAGAACACGTCCAGACGCTGTTCCTACTGTAGCCAAAACTGGATTAAAGTTTCTTCTTCGCTTCCAGAGTTCACCTTCTCCTACCTCTTTTTTGTTTATTACAATTATTATTATTCGTTATAATTTATACCCTTCATTCAAGTATTCTCTCAATACTATTAAATTTTCCATTTATACTATATTAGTGATATTATCTCTTTTCTCAGTATATGCCTCCACCTGTTTCAGTTCACACATTGGTTATTTCATTATGAATCTCTCATTGCAATCTGACTATCTCCTTTTTAATTCATACTACTTAATACTAGCCACTCGAATGACAGCTTTTATAACCTTGAACTAACTGGTCCGCTTTTCCTACCCTACACTGTATGAATCTATTATGACTAATCACCACCATTATCTCCCACTTCACAATATTTTGAATTCAACCTAGTACGTTTATCACAAAAATACTATTTATTTTGTCACTCCATAACTAATCTGTTATTCTACGTTAGAAAATGTATCCGCCACACAGCTTTCCATTATTGTAACGATAACAAATCTTATATTTTATAGCTGTAAGAGCCTGTGAAGAAATTATTGACTGAATTTTAATTATAAATCCGTCTTGATTTAAAATTATGTCAGAAATAGTGAGTTACGATAAATTTCTGAATAAGGTGCTTTGTGTTGATGATAAAGTACTTGAATAACCTCATCAGAAACGAGAAAAGCTACACTGGAATACTGCTGCTTGATGAAATGTATCCGAAATTTCTTAGCACGACATTTACTCTTGTTGTTTTGGAGAAATATTTATGGTCTAGGGGGTAGAATGCTCGCCAACCGTGCGTTTCGTATGCGGGTTCGATCCCTATATCTTACTTAGTTTACCAGCCAGCAATAAACCTGGATTAGAAGCAAGGTTGACCTCCAGGCTGGCAGCCTCATCTCGTATAACTTACTGCTGCTGTTCCGCTCAGAAAACAAAGGAATGAAAAAGTTTCAGAAGTTGTTAAGGTGTTTTTCACATGACACAATCATCAACCAGAGAAGTCACTGACTATCTATTTGTGTCTCATGAGAACTGGCAGGCCAACTTCATGAGACCTGAGGGACTTTTTTTCACTCCTTAGATTCTAAGGCTTCTAGGTTCGACATTTCAGTAGTGCTGGTATTGTTTTTTAAAGAGTGGCGTTTCTAGACTCATTTTCAACCTTCCAATTTTTTCCAGGCGAGGTTTAGGAGTGCGTCGACTGAGAATCGAACCTGGTCCACGCGACGAAAATTCGACCACTGAACCAATGACGAAATGTCAGAGAAATTTGTAATTAACAAATAGAAACAATTGAAGATTGGAAGGCAAATAGAAGATGTTAAGAAACCTATTATTTTTAATGTATTTCTTACCAGAAAACAACGTTACGTATTAAAATGTAAAGAACCAACGTCTGCTGAACATTCCCCCTTAATTATGAACTAATCAACTATACATTTTCACAGGATATTTGAATCAGCAGGTTCCCATCGAATCAGGAACTTGGAAATTATTGGGGTTATATTTTCCGGTTTCTAACATTTAGTGATATGGTGTAACCAACATTCAGAATCGGCATATTAGTTCTGCCCTCCCTCCGTCCGTCCCTCTCTCTCTACTATTTTTTTGTCATTTAAATGTATTTTTACTTTTTCAGGTTTTAATTTTTTTTCACTTCGTTTTGGAATGCCATAGCTGTAAGTGAATCATACTTTGTATTCAGTATTCATAGTTGGGCACGTTTTAATACAAAGTTTAAAAATGCATTAGTAGTAAGCTATTAGTTTTCATAAGGCCAAGAAAACAAACTTAAGTGCAAAATGTTCATATACATTAAAAAATAATCGAACTATGTGAGAATCAGATATGTGATATTTGATACAAAAATGTTAATCTTACTCTGTTCATTTTCACTTCAAAGATTAGTGTTCTTATTACCACTATAAACTCTTCTGTTGGAATATTTCGTAATCGAAACATTGCTTTATAAACCATCCAGTTTTTCTTAATACCTATATGTGGTATCGTTTCAACTATAGGCGACATAGAAGCCGGTGTCAAAGCCAGGATCAGAAAAGTAAAACAGACTTTCGTTACTCTGAAAGCAGTGTGGAAATCTACTGTACTCAGCAGAAGGTATAAGAGCCGGATTATTATTATTATCCCCTTGGGTTCCACCTCCCCCTATTTCCTCCTGTCCTCTTCAACTGGCTGGTTCCACGATTAGCCCAAAAGATATCTTTGCTGAACTTCTTGTTCTTTTCCGTCTAATGTCCTGCTGGGTATTTTCCACGATTTGACCATAATCCCTCATCTCCTCCTCCCCAAACGATCTCCTTTGTGTCACCCTTGCACTGACGACCCATCCGTCGCTTCCCATTGGAATGCCGCTTGATCAAGGGCCTGCATTGCGCGCGATGTTATTCGACGGCCTCCCTCCTCATCGTGTGCCGATCCATCTTCATTTTCTCCCACATATTTGTTGAGCAATCGACTCTCTCCTGTTGGTTTTTTCCAAGCCAGAGTTTCTTGTCGCTAATTCTTTCTGACAGCTTGGCCTGCCATTTGATCTTCAGTATGGAACCAGCCAGCGAAGTGGGCAGCTGTTAGTAAGAGTCTGCAGTGCTATATTGGAAATCCTTTTCGCGACTGGCAAGCAGTACAAGTTTCTGAGGCATATAGAAGAACTGACTGACTTGACATTGGTGTTGAAAATGTAAATCTTGTTCCCTGTGCTGAGTGTAGAAGATTTCCAAACTGGTTTCAGGTTGATTAAGGTGTATTTGCCTTTCCGACTCTGATTATGACATCTTCATCCATGCCGACAGCCTGTAATTGAAACGATTCTTCCTAGATAAGTGAAGGAGGTAACCTCTGTTAAATTTCTCCCGTTTGTGATGATTGGGGCTGGTTGTTGTTGTTGCTGTTATTGCGGTTCATTGATTACCTTCATCATCTCCGTCTTCTCTATATTCAAATGCAGTCTTGTCTTCGAGTTTGCGTAACACTAGACATATATCATCTGCGAGATCTAGATCCGGATGTTCAATACTAATTGCAAGTCTGTCTGGCATTATATGTGGTACACAGACCTGGTGCGTGCATCACTGAAAAGCATTTTCAACAAGCTATTGCAGACTTTGGTTGACGTCTGTCTTCGCTAGCTTGATAGTGAAGATCAAATAGTCAACTAGAAAGGATGAGCAATAATTAACTCTAGCAACGAACTGCCAGTAAACCTGCTGCCTATCAAATATGCCGAAGGTAATGAGAATGGAATGGACACAAGCTGAAGAGACTGCTGAACTAAATCACTTCATAGGCAGACCCTCAAGAGTAAAGGACGAGTCGGACGTCTGACTGTAACATGGAGGAGATCGTGGCAGGTGAAAATGGAAGCTTGTGAGCAGCTTATCAATCAACTAAAAAAGATGTCAGAGAATGAAATACAAAAGAGATGTCCAGTTGAAGTACAACAACCAGTTGAGAGTTCCAGAAAGACAAAAAGGAGGTCGGATGAGTAGATGAAAGCTCAGAACAGTCATGCATCCAATAGCCAGCTACATTGGGCCTACAATTAGGCAGGTTCATCATCGTATTTCCGAACATCATCCAACATGGTTAAGCAAGGGACAAACAAGATCTTGTAGATACTGAGCATGAGGTTGATATTAATACAGCATTTGAAATTATCTGTCACATTCCTACTAATCTTAATTTTGCTCTACGAGTTCGTCTTCCACATACAGCTGAAGCAATAGAAATCCACCTGAAGAAGCCAAACCTGGTTGTTCAGAAGAAATTTGTACAGTGACTTTCCTTCCCTTGGCCATCGTTACATGACTGTATAAACCGGACTATTTCGCCCCCCTCCCCCTAAATGTCTAAATGAGGATATTTTCTATATTAAAAAGAATATATATAGGAAAGTAGGTGAAAAGTCGATGTGCTGAAGATGCCGTATTTTTTATTCGGAATCCAAGGGAGTTATATATATATAAAAGATAATTTTGCTTTCACCTGATATATAGAGGAATATCACAAAGCAAAATTATAAGAGTAGTGTTATCTTCATTTGAAAAATGGAGAAATTTATTACATGTTCCCTTATAAACTAAAACTTTCTATATACGAGTCTTAATCTGTCTTTAAGTCATGAACTGTTTGAAGGTTATTCAAATTGAAAGATATATTGAATTATAGTCGTATTATTACTGTCATCGCTGCAGACGGAAGGAGTGAAGATGACAGAGTCATCTATGACTGGGAAAGC